GCCCACTCCGGGAAGGTCAGATGCCCCAGGCCTGTCGAACACCTGACCCCAGAGGCACCACCCCCGCCCCCTCCACTGACTGATACACTGAGGTCCAGTGGCTGGGGGAGAAGCCTGCCAGGCCTCACACAGCGGGCTTTGTGCCTCTGCCCTTCTCTGTCCTCTCACACATTCAAGGTCACTGACAGACAATAACTTGACACATCTTGGAATTTTCTCCCTACCTTCCAAGGCCACATCAGAATGTTTCCAAACTTTTGTCTTGAGGAAAAGGAAGATAATGTGACCAAGTTATCAACTACGTCACCGCCAAGATGGAAAATGCAAAGACGGGCCCTGACTCACCGCCAGCCCTGTTCCAAAGGCCTAGATGCCAACTGGTTGTTGGGATCCTCAGACGCATCCTCCCCCAGGACCCCAAGAACACAGCCAAGTACACACTGGGTGCTAGGGCCTGGGAAAGTTCATCCCAGAACTTGCCCAGGGGGCCGCCATTTGTGATCAGGTTCCATCATGAGGTTGGAGGCACTCAAGGGACTTTGTCACAAAAACAACAGCCAGTGCATCCGCCGTTGGAACCCAGGCAGCTGGACCTCGAGCAGATGTTCTCAGCTGCTCAGCCAGCCACTGTCCTTCCAGATAGCAGCTGGATCAACCTTAACCCACATTCCAAAATGTCCTATGCAAAAATGAGGGCCAAGCTGCAATGAGAGATGCCAAGTCCTGAGGAGCAGGAAGAGGCTCCCGATGCCTGGATGGGGGGTCCGGTGCTTTTCCCAGGACTCCTCCCCCCATGGAAAGGGGACAGGAGCGTGATCACAGGCACCATATGGCGTCTGTGCCCAGTTTTCACAAGCAAGCAGCGCATCAGACAGGAGTCCGTGTATTTCCAAAGAAGAAGCTTTTACAAGACAAATTGACTGCAGCAACTCGGCCCCGCAGAGGGCTTCCTTCAGTTAGGGCAAAGTGTCATTAGCATACAGTGACATAATTTAAAAAATGTTAAGTGTGTTTTCACAGTAATAAGGTCTTGCATTTATCTCTCTGCAGGGCAATAATGAAACCAAACCATCCTCCAATAAACTTAGTCAATGATCAACAAATTAATGCCAGATTGATTCATTATAGACTGGAGAGAAGGATTACAAGACATTGTCATGACACCTCACTCCTCTGTGGTCACAGAGAAGACATTTACTAATGAGACCGGCCTGAAGGACGCAGTCGTCATAGCCATGCAGGGTGAGGGAAGGCGCGGCTCTTGCCTAAGGGCTCACCGTGGCCACCACAAGGAGCTGGGCCACATCGGTGACAGCTGTTGATAAAGCCACATTCATGCCTGGCCACTCAGGAATTCACCTGTGGCCTCCAGACGGAGAAACCCCGCTCATGGAGTCCCCCATCCAGGAGCAGCAGCAGAAGCCAGAGGCCACCTAAAAACCAAATACTGTCCTTGAGACCCCACTGTCCTTCAGACCCCAAAAGTCCTGCGTGTCTGCCTTTGGGGTACTTTCACTAAGATCACTGCCACCACTCTGGTTCAGGGCACCAACATCTCATTCCTCTGAGTGGCTCCCTGTTTTTGATTTATCAGGTCCTCTTGGGACCACACACTACATTCTCCCTGCGGATGCCAAATGACACGGTGCTCCAGCTTGAAGCTCCAGCTGTTTCTCCCACATCCAGAAAAAAAACCACCTAACTCCTGACCAAGGGGATTAGGTTCCCAGGGCTGCCTAACCAAAGACCGCAAAGAAACTCCCCAGTTCTGCAGGCTGGAGTCGGAAATCAAGGTGTGGCAGGACCCCACTCCCTCTAGGCTTGAGGAGGGTCCTGTCCTGCTCTTTGCTGACTTCCACTGGGGGCCATCCATCCTCGGTGCTCCTTTGGGCTTCGTAGCTTCTGCCCGGGTCGTTATAGGACAGTCCCCAAGTGTCTCTGTCTACACTGCTTTTCCCCTTCTCATGAGGATGCTGGTCACTGGGTTAAAACCCACCCCAACAACCTCATCTTAACTTGATTACATCTGCAAAGACCCTATTTTCAAAAGGGTAGCATTTCAAAAGGGTACCCGAGGTTAAGACTTCAACCTATCTTTTAGGGGGACCTAATTCCACCAATAACACTGGTCCCACCTGGTCCCACCTGGTCCCACATGGTCTCATGTGGCCTCCCACACCCCACCCTGGCATGCTCCCCACCCATGGATGCACCAGGCTGCACCAGGCTGCACCCAGCCTGTCTCTGATGTTCAGAATGTTCCCTCCTCTTGTCCTTGCATGGCTGGGTTCCACTTACCAAGCAGCTTCAACGTCACTCCAAAATGCCTGTGACCAGAAGTGTTGCAGATTTCAGAGTTTGATGGATTTTGGAATATTGGCATAGACTTTATCAGTTGGACATTCTTAATCCAAAATCTGGATTGGGATTTTAGATTTTCAGATTAGCAATGGTTAAGCAAAGCCTCCAAAGAGCCCCTATTTTTTTCCCGGGGTGCTGGTGATCCAACTCAGGGTCTTCTGCCAGGCAAAGCCTCCACTCCTGAGCCACCTTCCCAGTCGCCCAAAGCTGCTTTCTAACTTCTCCATCCAAGCCTCTCAGTTCTTCTCTGCAAGACCCCTCCTCTCACACCACCTGCCTCGGGTGTTTGTTTTGTCCCCCTTGGGGCTTCCAGCCGAATGAGGAAGGGACCTTGTTGGCCCAGAGCCTTGAATGGTGCCGGGCATCTGGCTCTCCACAAGAACATGTGGAATAAAGGAATCAATTCTTTATTTACAGGTAAAGAAACTTGGGTCCAGATCAATAAAGTGATCACATGGACTTTCTACTGAACTAGACAACCTGGACATAGGGCAGAGTGTCCCTCTAAACCAGTGACCAGCAAATGTTCTCTCTAAAGGGCCAGAGAGCAGATACGTCAGGCCTCGCGGGAGGGCCATGGGATCTGTCACAGCAGCTCAGCTCGGCCCCTGAAGCCACACAGGAAGAGATGACAGCTAAATGAACGAACGAGGCTCCGTGCCCACAAACCTGACTTACAGATACTCAAATGTGAATTTTGTTTTAATTCTTGTTTTGACTTTTTCTGACCAATTAGAAGTGTAAAAAAATGTCCAGCTACTTGGGAGGCTAAAATGGGAGGATCTCAAGTTCAAAGCCATCCTGTGCAACTTGGGCCTGGTCTCAAAATGTAAAACCTTAGCTACTTTAACATAAAATAAAATGAAAGCATCAAAAAAAAAATTCAGAGATTACAGGTCATATAGAAATCCTATGGGCTGTTGCTGGTCAGCAGATGGGGCCCGCAGCTGGAGATGGCAGATTCCTGCTCTAAATTTCCATGTATATATCAGAAGACAGGAAGGACTGTTTGAGGAAAGCGTGGTAAGTCAGGGCACCTGTGCCAAACCTGGCACTTAGCACCTTAGCCGAGGAGCACTCGCTCCACCTGACGGGGGCAGGCAACATCTTATCCCCAAATAACAAATGCAGAGAATTGAAGCTCAGAGATGTTAAGCTGCTTCCTCCAGGTGACAGAGAACCAACGTGGTGGCTTTAAGACAGGAATTCAGACCATCAATGCTGTGAGCAAGGATGATTTTAATAACAACTTAAAAATAACAGCTAATATGCCAGGAGCCACTTGAAGCACTGAAGTCTGTCTGTACAGCAATTTTATGGGGCAGGGATTCTTTTTAGCCCCTCCTTACAGGTGAGGAAATACAGGTGTGAGTCAGATTGCAAGTGGCAGAGCCCAGATTGAAGTCCGGGCCATCTCAGAGGAACTGAACAGGCACTTCACAGAAGAAGAAATATGATTGGTCAACAAATATATGAAAAAGCATCAACATCTCTAGCAATTAGAGAAATGCAAATTAAAACTATGCTGAGATTCCATCTCATCCTAGTCAGAATGGCAGTTATCAAGAACACAAGTAACAAATTCTGGCAAGAATGTGGGGGGAAGGCACACTCATACATTGCTGGTGGGACTGCAAATTGGTGCAACCACTCTGGAAAGCAGTATAGAGATTCCTCAGAAAACTTGGAATGGAACCACCATTTGACCCAGTTATCTCCTCAGTATATACCCAAAGGACTTAAAATCAGCATACTACAGTGACACAGCCACATCAATATTTATAGCAGCTCAATTCACAATGGCTAAGCTATGGGACCACCTAGGTGCCCTTCAATAGATGAATGAATAAAGAAAATGTGGTTTATATACACAATGGAATATTACTCAACCATAAAGGATGATATTATGGCAATTCTGGTAAACGGCTGGAATTGGAGTCTATGTTGCTAAGCGAAATAAGCCAATCCCAAAAAACCAAAGGCTGTATGTTCTTTTGATACGCAGATGCTGACACACAATAAGGAGGGGTGGGAAGAACAGAAGTTCATTGGATTAGACAAAGGGGAGTGAAGGGAAGGGAGGGGGAATGGGAACAGGAAAAACAGTAGAATAAATGGGACAGAACCTTCCTATGCTTATATATGAATACACAACCAGTGTATCCCCACATCAGGTCCAACCACAAGAATGGGAAGTTACACTCCATGTATGTATGATATTTCAAAATATCCTTTACTGTCATGTACATCTAAAAAGAATTTAAAAGAAGAAGAAGAAGAAAGAAAGAAAGCCAGGCGCGGTGGTGCACGCCTGTAATCCCAGCAGCTTGGGAGGCTGGGGCAGGAGGATCATGGGTTCAAAGCCAGCCTCAGCAAAAGTGAGGCCCTAAGCAATTCAGTGGGACCCTGTCTCTAAATAAAATACAAAATAGGGCTGGGGATGTGGCTCACTGGTGGAGTGCCCCTGAGTTCAATCCCTGGTACCAGGGGAAAAAAAAAGAAGAAGGAAAAGAAAAAGAAATAAATCCAACCACCCTATACCAAAGCCTATGGTGTTGGCCAGGCCTCCTCCCATCCAAGGCCTCGGGTGCCTCGCCACTGCCGCCCTGCAGGCCCCCCACCCCACAGGCCCCACTTACTGGCCACCTTCAGCTGCACAGGGAACCACCTTGTCTCATTGAGGGCCTCCTCCTGGCAGGTGTAGCTGCCCTCGTCCTGCAGGCTCAGCGCCTCGATGTGCAGGGAACTGCTGCTCACTAGAGAGAAGCGAGGCTGGCTGGGCAGGAGGCTGGAATTGGAGGAGAGAAGGAAGACGGGCTCCGAGTCGTTCCGGTACCAGGTCACCAGGCCCCTGGGTCCCGAGAAATTGCCGCAGTGCAGAGTAACGTTCTCGTGAACTTCACCAACGACAACAGCCTCCAGTCCTGCGACAAGAAAGTGCAGGCCATCAGCATCTTCTGGATCTCTGAACAACCTCCTTTTGTTTGATCCCAGGGATTGAACTCAGGGGCACTAGACCACTGAGCCACGTCCCCAGCCCTAGTTTGCATTTTATTTAGAGACAGGGTCTCACTGAGTTGCTCAGCACCTCACCGTTGCTGAGGTTGGCTTTGAACTCTCGATCCTCCTGCCTCAGCCTCCCGAGCTGCTGGGATTACAGGCTGAATAATCCCCCCCCCTTTTTTTTAAAGAGAGAGCGAGAGAGGGAGAGAGAGAATTTTAATATGTATTTTTTAGTTTTCGGTGGACACAACATCTTTGTATGTGGTGCTGAGGATCGAACCCAGGCCGCACGCATGCCAGGCGAGCGCTACCACTTGAGCCACATCCCCAGCCCCAACAATCCCCTTTTTTGGACAGTCCCTGATCATTAGGGGTTTTTAGAAAATCACAAGTGAGTTTTTTTGTTTGTTTGTTTGGTACTGGGCATTGAACCAAGCAAGGGGTGCTTAACCACTGAGACTGGCTTTGAACTCGTAATCCTCCACATCCTCCACATCCCCAGCCCTTTTTATTTTTTATTTTGAGACAGGTTTTCACTCAGTTGCTGCCTCACTAAACTGCTGAGGCTGGCTTTGAACTTTCGATCCTCCTGCCTCGGCCTCCAGAGTTGTTAGGATTACAGGCATCCGTCACCACACCTCTCTACGTGTGGGTTTTTATGGTGCCATAACACACAGAGCCCAGACTGTGTCAGGATTCATGGCCAGTCACTGACATTAATAAACTTGGGGTTCACAAACACAGCCCCACTTCCCACCTGCCCTTCACTGTGACACTGAACTCTTGCCCTGGGCTCAGTCATGTGACTTGCTTGGGCTAGTGGGACATTAGCAGATGTGACACAGCAGAGGCTTAAAAAGTGCTTATGTAGGGCTGGGATGGTGGCTCAGTGGCGGAGCGCTTGCTTCATGCGTGGGAAGGCAAGGCACTGGGTTCGATCCTCAGCACCACATAGAAATGAATGAACAAAATAAAGATATTGTGTCCATGTATAACTGAAAAAATATTTTTTTTTAAAAAAGTGCTTATGTACCATCATTGGAGAAGCGAAAGTCAAAACCACAGTGAGGAGCCACCTCATACCCATCCTGATGGCCACTTTTTATTTAATAAAAGAAAAAAATACATGCAGCCAGGCATGGGCACACGCCAATAATCCTGGCAACCTGGGAGGCTGGGGGAGGAGGAATTGCAAGTTCAAGACCAGCCTCGGCCATGAGCAAGATCTTGTCTGGAAAAAATTAAAAGGACTGGAGATGAAACTTAGTGGTAAAGCACCCCTAAATTCAATCCCCATACCAAAAAGTAAAAAAAAAAAAAATTAAATCAAAACAAAACAAATGTAATGAATTTCAAATAATTTCAGATTTTAAAAAAATGTGTTCAACATGGAAAATTCAGAACCCTTGCACACTCTTGGTTGAGAGCGTAAAATAATCCAGATGCTGTGGAAAACAGTACAGTGGCTCCTTGAAAACTAAAAACTGAGACACCAATTCCACCTCTGGATATGTACCCCAAATAATTTAAAACAGGATCTCAAAAAGATTTTTGTTCACAGCAGCATAAAAGCTAAAAGGTTCATAATACCTAAAAGGTGGGACCCACATGGTGTCCATCAACAGGTGAATGGATAAACAAAATGTGCAATGTTACAGTAGAATATTACTCAGCCTGGAAAAGGAAGCTGGCCTACCACAGTGTGGATGAGCCTTGGGAACAGTATGCTAAGTGAAAGACGCCAGGTCCACAAAAGATCCCCATGGCTCCACTCACACAGTGAGTCAGAATCATGCTGACAGAAATGGTAATCGCCAGAGGCTGGGCTGGGGGTGACGATGGGGAGCCCTTGCTTCCCAGGTACAGAGTTAGTAACCGAAGGCCAGGGATGTGGCTCAGCGTAGAGTGCTGCCAGCCTGAGTGTGGCCCTGGGCTTGATCCCCAAAACCAGAAGGAAAAAATGTTCTGCAGATGGACAGTGGTGATGGCTGCACATTATCAAGAAACTTAAGTCCACAGGACAAGGACACATCCCACCAGGATGCAGGGGAGGATGACCTCCGTGGTGCAGACCCATCATCTGGATCCTTCCAGCGGAGGCCATTCTAGATTGGCAGCATTACTGTGGCAATAAATAACTGATACAGAACCCACGTGGTTTCATTTGCCCAGAAATCTGGATAGGATGGGTTGGGTTTTGTTCCTGCTACTCTGCTGCTTGCTGTGTCCATCTCAGGTCCAAACAATCCTGTAGTTAAAGCTCTCTGGGAAGCACCCTGCAAGAATGGGCTGAGAGCCAGTGGCTCACACCTGTAATCCCAGCAGTTTGGGAGGCTGAGGCAGGAGGATCACAAGTTCGAGGTCAGCCTCAGCAAACTGTTGAGGCCCTAAGCAATTTAGCCAGACCCTATCTCAAAAAATAAAATATTTTAAAAAGAGCTGGGGATGTGGCCCAGTGGTTAAGTGCCCTTGAGTTCAATCCCTGGTACCAAAAAAAAAAAAAAAAAAGGAGCTCACAGACTAGTGGGGAAAAGAGAAAATAAACTGGCGGTTATGATACAGTATGATGAACATGAAGATAAGGGCTCCAAAGTCCTCCAGGGTGTATGTCAGGAAAGGCTCCCTCCAGGAGGCAAACTGAGATCTGACGGACAAGAGGCATCAGCCAGGTAAAGGTGAGGAAGGGGCTCCCAGGTGGAGGGAACAGCATGTTCAAACGCTGGACCAGGAGCAGCAGCCCTCCCCTTGGCCCCAAAGACACCTAAGTCAGAAACCAGGCAGCACTGTTAACAAAGCCCCAGGTGATCCTGATGCCCTTCAAGGAGGACAGGTGCTCAGGGCCACTGATCTGGCCTTAAACTGTCACTACAGAGCAAGAAACAAAAGCAGCCCACTGTGCTAATCTTCCAGCCCCTTCCACAGTCCACAGCCAAATCCAGGGAGCCGCAGGGACAAGAGAAGGAACAGAACCTGCGGGCTGCTCAGTTCCGGGCTGCTGTTCATGAGTGGAGCTAGCCGCAGAGCCTGGTGAATATACTGAAAACACAGAACTGGACACTTTAAACGGTGGGTTTTTATGCAACAGAAATTACTTCTATAAAGCTGCTATAAAACAAACCACCACCTGCCTCTGGGAACCCTCCCACTTATGAAAGAAAAGAGTAAGCTACATTGTGTTTGGCCTCTTGTCTAATCAGGAGGGCCTCCCTTTGGAATACTTCAAGTCCACCTAGAGTCACAGGAAGTCCTGATTCGGACATCACTCCCCAAAGACAGGATGGGGAGGAAAAAAACTAAGCCACTTGCTGAAAGGCAGAGAATTTCACCTAATTCTAGGTGAGATTCCCAACAGCAGATGAGGGTTTAAGCCCCAGCACCTCAAAAAAAAAAAAAGAAAGAAAGAAAGAAAAAAAAGAAAAAGAAAGAAAGAAAATGAGGATTATTGTTTTCAAGCCACTAGCTGATAGCCCTAGTTCACGGGTGGCAGTCCCCAGGAGGAGGGGAAGATGGACTGCGGAGTCACAGACACAGCGTGGGGTCCTGGCCTTCAGACCTGCCCCTTCCCCCACTCCCTGGCAAAGGAGTAAAGGAGCCACGGCTTGGAGAAGCCCTGGTGAAACGTGAATCTTGGAACTTGAGCTAACTTGGTCTTCTCCTCCAGGGAACAGAAGGACCCGGGAACAAAGGAAGCCATTGGAAGCTGTGTTCCTTCCCCGGCTCTGCCCACTCCATTCCTAACTATCCTGACTGCTGAAGCTGGCGGTAACTTTGCAGGTCAACTAGTCCTGGCTCAGTGGAGAACCGTCCATCATGAGTTAGTGATGCCGGTGGTCTTGAAGAGGGGCTAGTTCACGCCTCATGAGCCCATGCACCCTCATGTTACTGTGAGAAAACGCAATCAATTTTCTTAAATTCCCACCCATGCAAATCGCTGGGAGATGTGGGACAGGCACACAGGTCTTAAGGGTGCCGGGTTCTCTGAGTCCCAGGAATTTACCTTGGTCTCCTGAACTAAGCAGGTGAGAAAACACAGGAACAGTTTGTGCCACTTGAAACCATTCACACCATGTCCAGAGGGGCCCCTGTTGCCCCCAAATCTGCATCAGAACATGGAACACCCCATACCTATCATTGTAGAATTGCAGTCATGCCCAAATAGTTATCTTTTCCAAGCAACTGTTCCCAAGAATGACATGAAATACACTATCCAGGTGACAAACGGAAGAAGCAATCAATGTCGTGGGGAGCTGAGTGTCAGGAGAAAGACAACTTTTTTTCCCGCGAGAGGAATCCCAACTGGAAAAACAATAAAAAATACACCGTGCCCAGGAAGCCCCCTGGTACTACATGCTTAGAGGAAGTGGGTCTGGGTAAGTGGGTCTGGGTATCACAATAACTGGGAATGGCTGTGAAGGGGGATCCACCTGGGCAGCAGTGGTCACCTCAAAAGCTCATTCATTCCAGCCTAATTTCAGCCCCAGGCCCCAGGCAGTCAAGATCCAGAAAACACTGCAGACAGCTAGGAGCAGGGAATACTACACCATCACCTCTAACTTCTGTCCCTCCTTAGTGACCTAGAGGGACTAGCAGGTAATGTCCTCAACTGAAGTGGGCCAGAAATAAGTTACTACAACAGGTAAAGGTGAAACAAATTTGGGGTCACATGCACTAGAAAAAAGATGAACACTGCTCAGTTCCAAGGGAAGACAGGCCCTTTGCTGCCAAACACTGAGACTTTTCCAGATAAACTGGAAATGCAGATTATGGGAAACATTGTTTTTATGATTGCTAAAAACAAAATGAACTAAAAAATTGATAAGAATCTAACAATTAAGAACTTGGCACACACCTGTAATCCCTGCAGCTCAGGAGGCTGAGGAAGGAGGATCATGAGTTCAAAGCCAGCCTCAGCATCAGCGAGGCGCTTAGCAACTCAGTGAGACCCTGTCTCTAATAACATATTAAAAAGTGCTGGGGATATGGCTCAGTAGTAGTAGAGCGCCCCTGAGTTCAATCCCAGGAAAAAAAAAAAAAAAAAAAAAAAGAAGAACTTTTGGCACTTGCTGCTAGGAAGCTCAGGTACAATATAAAATCGCCTCCAGGAACCTGCAAGAGGAGACCAACTGGGCCCGGGAACAGACACTTAGCACTCTTGGCAAAGCACACTGCCCCCTGGCTCCACGTCCTTCCCCTCCACCCATCTCCTCTTCGCTTGTAACATTTGGGGCACACAGAAGATATGCATTGGCTGCTGCATTAATTTTTTTCAATCTTTTTACATTCTACATATGTTTGCTAGCAACGCTCTACTCTGTTTTTGTAACAAAACAGAGTGTAGATGCAACAGTTCGGACCTTGTTTGTTTTTCAGTCAGACCTCATCTAAGGGGAAATTTTCAGTAAGTCTGAAATCATTTCAAAATAAAAAGTGTGTTTTTAGGGAAAAGAGTGAGGAAGGCAGGCACGGCTTCCTCCGCCCTAGTGGGCACAGGTAGGCTTGCAAGGGCGTGTGGGGAAATCCACAGGTTACAGGTGTAAGGCCAGAGCAACCTTGGGGACAGGGAGGGCAGGAAGACGGGGACCCCGCCTGCGGCGCGCGCCTGGGTACAGCAGGTAAACCCAGAACGCGAATGGACACCGACGTTCTAGGAACTCAGTGAATAAGCCACTTCCCCGTCTACACGCGCCCTCCCTTCCCCATGCCCCTCGGCAGGCCGGCTGCCCACCGGGAGCCCGGGGAAGTCTCGCCCTCCTTCCTGCAAAGAGCCCAGCCAAGAGCAGGAAACCCGAGACCCTCCCGGGCGGCCCGGCGGGGTCTCCGCGAGCTGGGTCCCCGCCGCTCCCCCTCGGCTGCCGGGGAGAAGTCAACTTTTCCCTTCCGATCGCGGCCCCTCACCTGCGGTGACCCAGCGGGCCAGCAGCGCCCCGAGGCAGAGGAGGACGCGGGGCTCGCGCGCCCGGCCGCCCGCGGCCATCTCGCCCCAGATCCGAGATCAGGAAACGCAGGCTCCGGCCGGTGCGCGCCCAGGGCCCCGGCCCCGGGTGCCGAGCGCTCGTCCCGCGTCCCCCGGCGGCGGCCCCGAGGATGCCCGGGGAGCGCGGCGGCGGCGAGAGGAGAGGGCGCCCCGCCCTGCCCGCAGCGCGCTCGGCGGGCGGAAAACAGCGGCGGCGCGGGTGCCTCCCGCCTCCCATCCAGGCGGGAGCCCGACTTCCTCCACCTTGGCCGGGAGGAGGGCTTTATGCAAAGGGCGCGCCGGGCCGTCCGCGGGCAGGGCCGGGGGAGGAACGCGAAGCTGGGCCCTCCCCGAGGCCACTCGGCCCGGGACAGCCGCCGTCTGGAGTGGCGGGGACACTGGGCCGGACGAGCCCTGCAGCTGCCGCAGGACGCACCCCGCCCGGAGCAGCGCGGCGAGCCGGCGGCCAGGCTGCGGGATGCGGGGCGCCCGGGCCGTGCCCGCCCAGCTGCTCCGGGGCTGTCATCTGTGTCCCCGGGCCCAGGGCGGGCGCCAGCGCCGCCATCGCTGCCGGTTGCGACCCTTTGCAGGACCGAGCGGGACCTTCGGGCCAGAAGCAGCCGCGGGACGCCGGTTCTGGTCTCAAGTAGCTAAGACCGCAGTGAGACCCGGGGCCCAGGAGTCGCCCGACTTTTTTTTAAAGAGTTTTATTATTTATTTATTTATTTTCTCCCTCGTTCAGTTTTCCCACCGCACCCAGGTAGATTCCCCTGGAGCTGCGTGGCCGGACCATACTCCCTCCTCCCTGCCAAGCCCCCCAGCCCACTGTGTTCTGGGGGAAGGTGCTGCTGGATCTGCAGGAAGAGCAGCGCTTGAAACGACCCTGGGAGAAACTTCCTGTTAAAAAAAAAAAAAAAAAAAAAGAAAGAAAGAAAAAAGTGCAATTGATGCAATGAAATATTCGTTGTGGGCTCCAGGAGGTGGGGATGTGGGTGTTCCCATTCTTTCAACTTTTCTGTGTTTTTGAAAATGTTCTTTATAAAACACTGGGGAGCAAAAATTGGTTTTAAAATTGTTCTTTCTCTTTCCCCAAAACCCCTAACTGACATGCTTCTTCCATGAGAAAATCCTGATGGATTGAGACAGGAAGCTCACAGCTCTGCTCTTTTTAATTTTTTGCTAGATGATTTTAACTCTTCCCTCAGCTCTTGGCAGGATGCTCTCTCTTTCCCTCCCCCTTTGGTTCTTGCTTTTCACCTGATGATGGAAGGGAAATTCTATCCTAACTGGACCTGAATCCCCAAGCCCTGGCACCTACTTGCAACCCAATATATATTTGTTAAATAAAAACATATATATTAACATCAAGCTAATTGCCTTAGATGTTGTAGCTTCTGGCAAACACCTCACAGAGTCACCTGAAGTAAACAAGCTGTCAATAAAAGCTTCAACTGGAAAGTTGTTCAGCTGCTGATCTGGAATGTTCTGTGGCCTTCACGGTGCCAAGCAAGGGGAATTGCATGGGGCAGACACAGGGGACATTCTTGCTGAGTCAAGGGCCTTCCCCCAACCCTTGGACCCAAAGCACCTTGTAGTCACACAGCTGGGTGCCTGCAAAGCTGGGACTAGACCCAGTCTGATTCCAAGTCCTGCTCAACCAAGGCCTAGCCTCCCCACATCTACAAAGGTTCCCGGGGCCAAGGAGACATGGGTCTGGATGCACTGGGTGTCATGGTCAGGTGAGCAGCCACAGATTCATACCCCTGAGCTCAGTTGGCCCCGGGAGGAAATACCCATCCTCTGGATTGGCTCCAGGCCTTGTGTTCAGAAACACCACACCCTGTGGATGGCCACTCATCCTTCAGGAAGCTCTGGGTAGTAGAAAGTGCCCTGCCCAGAGAGTGACCAGTGAGTTGGAGGTTCACCTTGGGGTCCCTGGCAAGGCAGGGCCTCTTGGAACCCTAGTTTATCTATAAAACAGAATCCCCCTATGGTCCTGTTGTAAGGATGAAGTGAGTTGGCATAACCAAAGGGAGTCAATGGAAGTCTTGGCAGACTTGTGGCAGGTTTTGGAGCCTGTCATTTGAAGTGCCACATGTCAGGGTCCCTAAATCCCACAGTCATGCGTGGACCGAGGGGCTCATATCTCACACACCTCTGCATCCAGGCTGCTGCATGCAGGTCTTGTGAGTTTGCTTAGTTTTAACCTCCTGGCTTGTGATTTATGTACATTGGTGTATTCAGTGGTCTTGACAGTCCTGAGAGACGGGCATTACAGGTCTCTTTACAGACCACCCCAAGAGGCTTCATCACAAGGCAGACACGGGAGAGCCACACTTTGAACCCAGGTCCAAGGCTGCACCGCTTGTGTTTTTGTGTCTGCAGTTCTGGGGAACCCAGGGCCACGTGCAAGCCAGGCAAGTGCTCTACTACTGAGCTACACCCCCAGCCCAGGGTCATTTTGATCAGTCAGGGAGGAAAGAACAAATTGGGGCTCCTGCCTGACTCATTAGGTGCTTCCACAGCTTGGAGCTCTGAAGACTCAAGCAATACATGTTGTGTCTATTATTTCTGCCCCATTCCTTCTTGTCATCGATTCCTCCCTAGAGGTCATTATGAAAGGTCTCTTAGCAACAGCCTGCTTCTCTTCAACCCAGAGATATTCTCCTGGGGGCTTCAGAAAGAGAGCACCAGTAGGGAACAGCCCACTGTGGGCTGTGGTCATCTCACTTCCAGAGGTGAATGACAAGAATCCTACCTGTATTCCCGGGCTGGCTGTGGGATCCCCCCAGGATGGTACTGCAAGAAGCAAGGCCAAAATCCACCGGGTTATTCTTTGGAGAAGAAAAGTTGCTAACCCTCCCAACAACACCTACCCACACCTCCTCTTTGCATTATGCCAAAAAGAAATAATCAAGGTGTGGACAGTGTAGCAAGAAAGTTCCTGAAATCAGGCAAAGTTCCAAGAAATAGCTGGCAGGATGAGATGGAAAATGGAGAGCTGTCAAATGAACCTGCTATTTTTAGCCAGCGCCCAGCCTCCTCTCTAAATCAGAGACCTAGAGGGTGACAGTTAATGTCTCTGAGAACCATGGGACTTGGAAGGTAGATGCACCCCCAGAAAGCAAACTGCCCCTTGCAGAGAAATCAGGCAAACGATGGTCCAGTTCCCTGAGAAATGAGCAAACAGAGGCTGCAGAGAGGTGGGTGACCACACACCCAACAGGGGAGAGCAGCTCAGCAAGCGAGGGACTGGAGGGACAGAACTGGGAGATTCATAGCTCTTGCCAATTTCTGTGGTGTAAATACTTCCTTGATAGCCAAGTTCAAGCTACCACTATGAGGTCACTGAACTGTACACACATCTGCTCTCTGGAACCAAGGACATCTCTCTTGAGATGTCCCTCTGCCCCAATGAGTAACTCCAGAAATTTCTGACAAGAAAACTGTCAGATCACCAACAAGAGACCTGCCAGGAGCCAAACAGATCACGCTCACCTCTTGAATGCATTGGATGGTCAGGATAAGGTGATTTTCCCAACCCCAGGCTGAGATATGCGGCTGGACTGACTCTGACTTGTGCTGTCCTAAGACAGCTGAGAGGAAGCACTTACCAGCAGTTGACAGACTTATACTTCAGGGAATTTTTGCTTTTTTTCCTGATTATAAACATAAAAATGGAAAATGAAATTTAACCGTAGCCCACCTAAAAATATTCACTATTATCATTAGAAACTTCTAGCCATTTTTTGCTGAGTTGTGGTGTATGTGATTTTTAAAATAAAATTGTGATATTTTATCCCAGGTCTCAATTCTTTTCCTTTTTTCCCCCTCAACTTTACATTATAAGCACATTTAAAGTTGTGATTAAAAAAAATTTTTTTGGACAACTAGCTAGTCTTTTAAACTGGAAAAGTAACAAAAATTCTAATGGTTAAAAAAAAAATTCAAATGCACCCTGAGGGTATCATGCGAAGTGAAATAGGTCAGTCACAGAAGATAAATACTGTATGACTCCACTGTAGGAGGCAGAGTTCATTCTTTGTATTCACAGTCTTCACATTTGCAGTTTCAAATAACCAAAGAAAGAAAATATTCAGAAAAAAAAATGGCATTTGTACTGAACATTGAAAGATCATTTTTCTTGGCTTTATTCCTAAATAATACAGCATAACAACTATTTGTACTACAAGTCACCTAGAGATGACTTAAAGTATTCAGGAAAATGTGGGGAAGTTATATGCAAATACTGTGCCCTTTTATATAAGGAACTTGAGCATCCATGGGGGATCCTGGAACCCATTCCCCACCCATATTGACTGCGGTTTGCTGCACCCAGTGTCATCAAATTCCTAGGAACAGAAAGTAGTAAAAACCAAGGGAAAAACCAAGGGGACAGGAGAACGGAGTTAGTGTTTGACGGGTTCCCAGTTTCACGATGCAAGAGCAAGTGAGTTCTGGAGACTGAGGGTGGTGATGGTTACACAAAAATGTGAATGTACTCAATGTCGCAGCACTGTACACCTAGAATGGCTTGAACAAATTTTATGTTATGCATATTTGATCACAATTAAGAATTTTGAAATGCTGAAGAACATGGGAAAAGGAAAGAGCAACAAGGGGGAAAAAGTGTGTGTGTGTGTATGTGTGTGTGTGTGTGATATACATGTATGACAGAGAACAGATATTTCCTTGATGTTTGTAAATAATCAAAAAAAAATTGAATGAAACAAAAAAGAAAATCCAAGCGGTTAGCAGCAAAATCATTTCTTGAAAGTAAGCCTTCTGCCCACCTCCCCTGGCCCCCAGTTCTCTTACCCAGGGAAGAAGTCTCATCAACTTTTGGAGGCTCTGGTTTTTACTGGTTTTCTAATGTGCATAGGTTGGGATATGATACAGCCTTCAATACTTGGGCTTTTTGTTTGTTTGGTTTTTTGGTTTTGGTTTGGGTACTAGGGATTGAACCCAGGGCACTTAACCACTGAGCCCTTTTTTATATTTTATTAAGAGACAGGGTCTCA